AAACCAGGAAACATCCTGGACCTGGGAGCCCTACCCACTTTTAGCCAGGGCACTCCACATTGCTCTGTTTTCTACATTGACTCCTAGGTAAGTTCCACTTGAAGAAAGTGTCCCAGCACAAATAGGGTTTGAACACTTCAGCTCTAGTTTCAGTCTTGGATGGAGCCATTCTGCTTGGCTTAGCTAATCACTGTCACTTGAATCGGGTAGAATCTTGTGGCCTTGGTGCCCTCATTGAACTGCTGGTGGGCGTGTGCAGGGGCCTCTGTAAGTCAAGGGCTCTTCCAGGCAGGCGCCACCCTGTGCAAAGAAAACAGGCACGGAGTGTTTGAACCCTGCCTGGTGTGGGTAAGGTGTGGAAGGCTGTTTTGAATCGAAGGGGCTGTTGAGCATAGCAGACAAGGTGACGGACTGACGTGTCCAGGCAACACACCATGTTTAAAAGCATGGCTTTCAGCCCCGGTTCAGTATCTTACAGAGTCTTTCTAGAGAATGCTATTCTATGAGAGGCTCAACTACGCAAAATTTCTGTTTTTCCACAAGACTTTGAAATATTGCCTGTCCTTCTTGGTGATCTCCATGCATATTAGTGTATTAGTGTAGTGGAAATTTGTAAGCAGTAACTTGAGTTCAAATAAACGGAAATGCTTTTTTTTTTAAAAAAAACACATATACATAGGAATTCCCTGGTGGTCCAGTGGTTAGGACTCCACGCTTTCACTGCTGAGTCCCTGGTCGGGAAACTAAGACCCCACAAGCCACACAGCACAGCCAAAACAAACCAACAGACCAACAGACCACATTTCCATCCACACAACAGGGATTAAAACTTTGGAAATTGATTGCCCTAGAAGTGAAAGCATATAACTAGTTATTTTACAAAAGATGAATTCCATGATATTAGATGTTTACTAAGTTGTGGGGTGGCAACTCCCACTTTTTTAGTGAGAAGCCTCCCTACCTTTTAGAAAGGGGTGTCATTTCTCTTAGTGCCTCTGTATATTCATTTGTTCACCAAATATTTATTAAGTACCCACAGTGCTAGGCAAAACACTTGGTTATTTAGAGTATGAAAATTCTTACCTCTTTATTGGGATAGCTTTTCTGGAATATATCATTTTTAATGCTCATTTTTAGAATTCTGTGTCTCTGACTATCAAAGAAAAACAGATGGTAGCACAGTTATTGAACATTTTTAACCCCTGGTAACATGTCTAAAAAGATCAAGTTCTATGCAGTCTCCCAGATTCAAAGTTCTTTCCCCTCCATCATATTTCTGCTCAGTTTTCTAAACATGGAAATATACCAGGTCCTTGTGGGGCTGCAGGGGTAGTGACCGGTGCTGCTTCTTACTGTGCAGGGTGGGAATCAGAGGGAATCAAGTATGCTTAAGAATTAGCACCAAGCTCAAGGTTGACAGGATAGTAACTGAAAGGTTCTATTCTGTAGTAATTAAAGTTAAACATTACCTAATACATTTTTTTTTTAAGTTGGAAAATTTACAGGAGCTGAAACTTGTCTCTCGGCTCATAACATATTCCTCCTCCACCAAATTATACGGTAGCTTATTCCACATTTCAATTTCTAAATAAATTGGTCTTCATTATTCTTAGATTCCTGACAGACATCCCATCTAAAAATTAATGTTTTGCATTCTGCCACTTTGAGCATGTTAAACAAATTACTCAGTGTCTTTGTCACTGAACTAATTAGAGGGATTCATGTGATGACTTTAGCACACCGATGTGAATGTGTATTTTTTCTTTTTTATTAGGGCTCATTTATTTTTTTATTAATAATTACAACTCTACTTTGGTATCATCTGTGGCTGTAATATTACCAGCCTCGGGGAATTGTCATGGGGGTTAATGCCAATAAAGCAGTCAGGGGCTTCCCTGGTGGCACAGTGGTTGAGAGTCCGCCTGCCGATGCAAGGGACACGGGTTCGTGCCCCGGTCCAGGAAGATCCCACATTGCGCGGAGTGGCTGGACCTATGAGCCATGGCCGCTGAGCCTGCGCGTCCGGAGCCTGTGCTCCACGGCGGGAGAGGCCACAGCAGTGAGAGGCCCGCGTACCGCAAAAAAATAAATAAATAAAGCAGTCAAAACTGTTCCTGGCACATAGCAAGGGCTCAAATGCTATCTTTATTCTTATTAATGAGCTTTGTGACTGTGACGAGGTAAGCAGGGTAGCTGCTGTTATCCTCATTTTACTGATGCAGATGCTGGTGCTCAGAAGTTTGGTCATCTGGAATTACTGGCAGTGCCAAGATGAGAGCCAAGCCCTGTGTTCCTGACTGTTCTCATAAGTGACCTTTTAGGGTTTAGTATTTCAACGTGTGAATTTGTGCAAACATTCAGGCTATAGCAGTTAAGTCAGCTCATGTGAAAACGCTTAGTACAATACTGAGCATACAGCAACAACTCCATTAAAATGGTTCTTTCCTTTCTATGCAGTTGATATCTGTGAGGACTCTCATCTCTCTTGTCCTCTCCCTTCCCTCAGCTGGGCCCTTCATCCCCAGACCACTCAGGAGCCTCTTTGGCAATTGGTGGTTGTCTTAGCTCAGGCTCCCATAACCGAGTATCACTGACTGAGTGGCTTAAACAACAGAAATTTACTTTGTCACAGTTCTGGAGGCTAAAAATCTGAGATCAAGGTGTTGGCAGGAGGTTTTTCTGAGGCCTCTCTCCTTGCTTTGTAGCCGGCTCTTTCCTCCTGTCTTCACATGATCTTCCCTCCGCATGTCTGTGTCCTAATCTCCACTTCTTTTTTTTTAAGATGTTCATTGTTTTTATCTTTTTTAAAAGAATTTATTTATTTTATTTATTTTATTTTTGGCTGTGTTGGGTCTTCATTGCTGCACACAGGCTTTCTCTAGTTGTGGCGAGCGGGCTTCTCATTGTGGTGGCTTCTCTTGTTGCGGAGCACGGGCTCTAGGTGCACAGGCTTCAGTAGTTGTGGTGTGCGGGCTCAGTAGCTGTGGTGCACGGGCTTAGTTGCTCCACGGCATGTGGGATCTTCCCGGACCAGGGCTTGAACCCATGTCCCCTGTATTGGCAGGTGGATTCTCAACCACTGCGCCACCAGGGAAGCCCAATCTCCCTTTCTTATAAGGACACTACTCCTATTGGATGAGGGCCTACCCTAATGACCTCATTTTAATGTAATTACCTTTTAAAAGACCCTATCTCCAATACAGTCACATTCTGAAGTACCAGGGATTAGGGCCTCAACATATTAATTTCAGAGGAACCCACTTCAGCCTATAACAGTGGTCTAGAAAGGAAGAGCATCTAAGCCTCAGAGTTCCAGCCCAGCATGCTCCCAACTCATAATCACAACCCTTGGGCTATCAAAACCCATTAAATTCCATTCAGTGCACTCTGTTCAAAAAACAGGCAGGGGGCTTCCCTGGTGGCACAGTGGTTGAGAGTCCGCCTCCCGATGCAGGGGACGCGGGTTCGTGCCCTGGTCCGGGAAGATCCCACATGCCGCGGAGCGGCTGGGCCCTTGAGCCGTGGCCCCTGGGCCTGCGCGTCCGGAGCCTGTGCTCCGCAACTGGGAGAGGCCACAACAGTGAGAGGCCTGCGTACTACAAACAAAACAAAACAAAACAAAACAAAACAAAAACAGGCAGGAATGGGACCTAGTTCCTTCCTTAGGAAATGGAAGAAAGGTGGATGGGACCTGTTATGTGTCAGGTACTGTACTGTGTTGCTGGTACTTAACAGACATTATGCCCCAAATCTCAACATCGCCAAGGACAGGGTAGGCATAGTTGCCTCCATTTTACAGAGGAAAAAAGAGGCATTAAGTCACTTGCCCAGGTCACATGGTTACTGTGTGATTTACTCAGTCAATCCCATTTCTCAACAACACTGAGATGACGAGGTAAGAAGCATAGGAGTCACGTGGGTTGAATAGGAAGAAAACTTACTTCCCGTTTCACCCAACTCAATCCTTCCCTTGAGAATTAAAAAGTAAACATAGGGCTGATAAAAGAAAGGAAGACAAATGGAAGAAACTTTTTTTTTTAAGGCAGGTTTAAGACTCTTTTGGAAAAAAGTCACTGGGTTCTGAAGAGAGCCAGGGAAGATTCTGTGTCACTTACTTTTCTCCAGGATAATCCGGCAGCCTGTAAATAAGTTGTATTTGTCCAACAGCTTTTATCCATCTTTCCTGGATTCTTCAGTTATCCCTACCTAGCGAGAGGCAACATGATGTGGCAGTTGGAAAGCCAGACTCTAAAGTGAGACCATCGGGGTTCAAGTCTCACTTTCACTCTTCGTTAGCTGTGGGACAAGTCACCTAATCTCTCTGAGGCCTCAGTTCTCTCTGCTGTTAAAAAAAAAAATGGAGATAGTAATAATGACTTCTGATGAGGTTGTTTTGAGCATTAGGTGATTTGATCTATGTAAAGAGCCTCACAAAAGGATCAGCTGTTGCTCCTAGGAAAACAAGGGCAGCAAGGGCAAGGATCTTGCCCATTTTCCGATGTATGTCTCTAATGCTTGCAAGGGCCTGATGGGCAGGTGGTAGACACTCATTCATATTTGTTATGTGACTGAATGAATTCAAATATGGTGGATCCTGAGCAATCTGTGATGAAGAGGAAGTACCTCATTTCAGCAAGTTTCCAGAGTCTTGTTTGTTAGTTGGTTGAAACCATAAGCCCACTGGTGGAGAGAGAGAGAGAAGGGAGTGAGCCAGAGTAGGGGTGAGAAAGCTTTTCTCAGTCTCCTGAGTGACAGGAGAGGTCTAGGTTGTCCGTGGTTGCGTTTCCCTCCCCTTTACCTGTATCATCTCTAGGTCTGTGCGTGGAATCACTTCCTGGGGCCTCTGGGCTCTGACAGTATGGAAATCACCCACTGACATGAAGGTGTTTGGATGGCACTCTGATGCATCTCAGGCTTCCATTTTGTACTGTTCTCTGGGATTGGCTTAATGATAATGTGTTATCAGAATTCCTCAACTGATTGCCAAATTTTCTTTCCAGGCTCAGGCTGCATGAAGAGAAGGTTATTAAAGATAGGCGACATCATCTCAAAACCTACCCAAACTGTTTTGTTGCGAAAGAACTGATTGACTGGTTGATTGAACACAAAGAGGCTTCTGACAGAGAGACGGCAATTAAACTCATGCAGAAATTAGCAGACCGGGGCATTATTCATCACGGTGAGTGAGGTGGCGACAGTCAAGGTAACTCGAGACGAAACAAAGGACTATATCTTCTGTTTCAGATACGAACTCACCCATTTAAGAAATAGACATTTTACTTTGTCTCTTGTATATCTCTCCCCAATTACATTCCCTTCCTTCTTCCAAGACACATTTGGCTTTATTTCCTTGGACTTCTTTATATTTTTTCCTTTCTGTAGATACGTCTCTTAGCAGTGTAACATATCGTTTTAAATGTTTTAAGTCATCGTAGAGAGGCATCTTTATTCTTTTGCAACTTGATCAATTTGCTGTTTGTGGGATTCACTCATGTTGATAGTGTATCTTGTTTGCTCATTTTCGCTACAGTGTATGCCATCACACCTTTATGCATTCTACTCACAGACATTTAAGTTGTCTCCAAGTTCTTGCTGTTACTCTCAGTGGTTCAGTGAACATTCATGAACGTGTCTCCTTGAAATCTCTAATCCTGGCCAAGACCTTAGCATGCTGTTATTGTCTTGGGCTGGAATGCCCTCCGTCTGCATTTCTGCTTGTTTTCTACTCATTCTTCAGGTCTCCACTTACATTCAAACTCTTCAGAGACGTGTACATTCCCCAAAGCTGGGGTACTGGGCGCTCCTTTGGGCTTCCACTGAATTTCTCCTCAGCTCTTTCGTAGCCTGATCATGCCGTATTTTAATTGCATGTCGACATTTCTTTTAATCTCGCTAGATTTCATATTCTTTGAGGCTGATGCCTACCCCAATATCATGCTCAAGAAGAGTTTGTAGAAAGCATGATGAATTGAATTTTGTGACTCTCTTAACAGATGATGATGATGATGATGATGATGATAGCTAATAAAACTGAGCACTTTTCTGTGCCAGGTACTGTGCTAAATAGTTTACTCTGTATTGAATCGTAGAGTAGTGTGCTTGAGAAAGTAGGTAATAGAACAAATCTTAATTAGCATCCTCCTTCATTTGAGTAATTAAATAAGAGGTTTTTTTCCTTATTCGCCTCTCTGTGTATATTGCCTTTCAGTGTGTGACGAGCATAAGGAGTTCAAGGACGTCAAACTCTTCTATCGCTTTAGAAAGGACGATGGCACCTTCCCACTGGACAACGAAGTGAAGGCCTTCGTGAGAGGACAGAGGCTGTATGAGAAGTATGTTCTGTAATCTTGTAGTGAGAAGCAGGGCTATTTCAGTCTTTTATCATTTTGACTTCAGCCTGGCTCTTCCATGTGGAATGGTTACATAACTATTCCTTTTTTTTTTTTTTTTTTTTTTGCGGTACGCGGGCCTCTCACTGCCGTGGCCTCTCCCGTTGCGGAGCACAGGCTCCGGACGCGCAGGCTCAGCGGCCATGGCTCATGGGCCCAGCCGCTCCGCGGCATGTGGGATCTTCCCGGACCGGGGCACGAACCCGCGTCCCCTGCATCGGCAGGCGGACTCTCAAGCACTGCGCCACCAGGGAAGCCCATAGCTGTTCCTTTTAATATGATAAAACTCTATCACTCACTTGCTTTTCTCTTTACCAGCAATTAAGTTGATTTCATAAGATTCTTAATAAAGAAATTATTTAAATAGTATTTTCTACATTTAAGTCGATTTAACAAAACTCCAGAAGTGAAAACAGAAGGTCGGCACTTAATGTTTGCCATCAAGTGATGCAGTTGCCAGTTCTCCTTTAAGTATTTTAAGTATCTTCTAGTATATAACTTAGAAGTTTAGTCTTTTAAATGGCTAGAGAAGCAGTGTCAAGTACAGGGGAAGTTCAAGTTCAGGTCAAGAGATGAATAGTGAGAGAACTTAAGATAGCAGGGTGATCGAAGAGGAATAATCTCTCAGCTCTTTGTAAGAGATGAATATACTGTGGCCCAGGAGTATTTGGTTGGTGGACATGGAATCTCCCAGTTGGTTTGCCTCTGAGCTGATCTGCTGTTTCCGTGGTCCCTTTCTCACCCTACCTTCCTTGTTTTTTTCAGGGCAACCATTCGAGAAAGGAGTGCAGGGGCAGTGGCATCCTTTCCTTAACTCTGACTGCCTTTCAAAACATGTATTTATAACATAAAAGAGCCTACTCTATAAGTGGGATGGTGCGTGAGGGAGCTGCACCTGGGTGGTCAGATTAAGTAGCGGATGGTTAAGAGCCAGACAGGGTTTGAGTTCTAGCCCCATTACCTTACCTTTGTAAACCTCAGTGTCCTCTTTTATGACATGGGAGTGGGTGATAGCACCTCCCTCCTAGGTGTTGAGTGCTGTCCTGGGAACTAAAAGAATACATTGTGTCAAGTACTTAAATAGTTGGTTCAGTAACTCTGCTATGTTGTCAGACCCCATGGAGGATAGTCATTTCAGATATTAACATGACACTGATGATGATCCTTGATTCTGTCTGTCCTGTGTTCTACCTCTGTCCCAGTTCTGTTCACTTCGGTTTCTGGAGCTGGCATTAGCCAACCAATTAATGCCTAATATGTACCAGTTCTCCCAGTTCTCTTATTCCTTGCTTTCTATATCAAAGTACAGAAAATCCCTCATCTCCCTGACTCACATGAATTTGAATAGAAGGGGTCCATCAACACCTCCATTTGTTTGCTTGAGTGTGCATATATGTTTTGTTGCTGCTTTCGTTTACTTTCTTAGTTCCTTTTGGAAAATTCTAGCAGATGTTAAGTATTTAGATTTCCCTGATGGTCTCTTCAAACTATAAGAATTTATGTTGTCAAAAACATACATGTCATTTCCATGGAAGGAAGCCAGGGGATTCTGTAATACTCTTCCCTAGCTACAGATTATCTCTTAGGATCTGGGTAACCACTTTATGGGAGCAGGGATTAGCAATAATTGAAACGTCTGGTAGAGAACTATTCTTTTTTTTTTTTTTAAGATTTTTTGATGTGGACCATTTTTAAAGTCTTTATTGAATTTGTTACAATATTGCTTCTGTTTTTTGTTTTGGTTTTTGGGCCCCGGGGCAGGTGGGATCTTAGCTCCCCGACCAGGGATCGAACCCACACCCCCTTGCGTTGCAAGGCGAAGTCTTAACCACTAGACCGCCAGGGAAGTCCCTAGAGAACTATTCTTACTAATGGGATGGATATGATAAGAAAAGTTGAAAAAAAGTTGTTCATACCCTCTAGAAAATACTTACTGCAGCCCTACCTTCTGTTTCTTCTCCCCTTACATCCTATGTGCCATTCACACTAAACTGTGTCTCTAGACCATCCAAGTCTCCTCTCTGCCTTCAGGGCATTTATTAATTCATTAATTATTCAACAAATATTTATTGAGCCCTCACCACCTGCCAGACACAGTTATAGTTATATACTGGAGATGTGCCCTGGACCAAAGATAGACAAAGCCTCTACCCTCATGGACCTTGCATTCTAGTATGTTGTTGCTGTTTGCTGCGCTGCGTCTTCGTTGCTGTGCGTGGGCTTTCTCTAGTTGCCACGAGCAGGGGCTACTCTTTGTTGTGGCACATGGGCTTCTCTTCACTGTGGCATGCGGGCTTCTCTTCATTGCAGTGGCTTCTCTTGTTGCTGAGAGTGGGCTCTAGGCACACAGGCTTCAGTAGTTGCAGCATGTGGCCTCCGTAGTTGTGGCACACGGGCTTAGTTGCTCTGCGGCATGTGGGATCTTCCCAGACCAGGGATCGAACCCATGTCCCCTGCATTGGCAGGTGGATTATGGTTTTTTTTGTTTGTTTGTTTGTTTGTTTTTGCGGTTCGCGGGCCTCTCACTGCTGTGGCCTCTCCCGTTGCAGAGCACAGGCTCCGGGCGCGCAGGCTCAGCGGCCATGGCTTACGGGCCCAGCCGCTCCGCGGCATGCGGGATCCTCCCAGACCAGGGCACGAACCCATGTCCCTTGCATTGGCAGGTGGACTCTCAACCACTGCACCACCAGGGAAGCCCGGCAGGCGGATTCTTAACCACTGTGCCACCAGGGAAGTCCTTGCATTCTAGTTGAAGAGGCAGACATTAAGAGGAATGTAGTTTAGTATCGGTGATTTTCAGTATAGAAGGAGAAATAGACTCACTGAGGGTGACGAGGTGTTTTAGACGGGGGGACAGGGAAGACGTCCCTGAAGAGGTGGCATTTGAATAAAGTGGGCCTTGTGTGTATCTGGTGGAACAGCATCCAAGGTAGAGGACACAGCAAGGGTAAAAGCTTCGGGTGGGAATGCTCTATGTAGTTTAGGACAGCAAGGAAGCCAGTGTGTCCAGAGGGCCGGAAGTAAGGGGGAGAGTAGGAGATGAGTTGGGACCAAATCGTGAAGGGCCCTTACCGCCACGATATCGAAAATGTTATTTTAAATGTGATGGGAGGCCATCAGACAGTAAGGAGTAGTAAAGTGGTGATCTGATGTACATTTTGCATATGCTGTTCCCTCTGTCTAGAAGACTCTTCCTGCCACGCTCAGCCCTTTCTCTAGCTCACTCTGACTCTTCCTGGCTTCGTGTTCAATCTCACCTTTTCTGAGAATCCTTCCGCGTCCCCTTAAGACTGAGTTAGGTGCTGCTACTCTGTGTTTACCCCGTGAAAGAACTGTGTTAAACTTTCATGTCGTTTTGTTTACGGCATTAGACTAAGAAACTTAAGGGGGGGGGGACTGCTTTATCCTCCTTTGTATTTCTTATGGTTTCACATGTTCCCGGCCAATCGTAGATGGTAAATATTTGCTGAAAAGGATGACGAAACTTTCTGATCCCTGGACGAATTGATCAATATTGCTGTACTTTTTCTGTGTGCACTTGGCTTTCTAGTCATTCATGTTCAGTGTCTCCATTCCAAGTAAATTTATTTCTTCAAACTGCTTGTAAAATTAGCACTAGGAGAAGTAATTTCATAAGTACTGAACTTGCACGACCTAACTGCCACCTCACAAATCTTGGCCCCTACCTTTGGTTGCTAGAACATGCGTGGAACAAACTTTAGGGCCTTTGGAATTGATAGTTCAGTTTACCTGTTTGATCAATTTTGTTTGGTATATACACTTATCTATATTTTTAATGCATTTTCCTTGTTTCTCTGGCCATTTTTTCCATGAATCTCAGCATGTACTATTATTTCGTAAGTCTTGGATACTTAAAAAAAATAACATTAAGAAATGAATAGCTGATTTTGTTCATAGCTCATCTTTTCAAGGACTTTATTTTAGAACTGACTTTTCCCCCCTCTATTATTTTAGCTGGAACCCTTGTTTAGGATATCTCTAATATTAGTGAAAGAAGGTCTTACGAAAGATATATTATTCCTTTAGTTGTTTTCCTTTTAAGATAATAACAATAGATAATATTTGTTGATTGCTAGCTATATATCAGACATCCTGACTGATCTATTTAATCATCATAACAACCCCTAGTTAGATGCTTTCATTGTTCCCATTTTATGGATGAGAAAAAAGTTGCAAGGAGAGGTTCAGTGTCTTACCCAAGGTCACCTCATTCGTTTAAAAAAAAAAACCAGCTGGGATTTGAACCTAGAGCCCAAACTTATTGTTACTAGGCTATTAATAAATCTCTTCTGTTGCCTTCAATGGAGATTAAATGAATGAAACCAGTGTTTACTTCAAAAATGTAACATGGAGTTTGTGAATATCTGGGTATGAGATTTGCTATAAAAATTTACTGAAAATATTCCAGGATTTTAAAGTAGACTTTGGAAAAGGGGAGTAAAATGATTCTCCTTCATGGTAAATCTATGTGGTGGTCTGTAAATATGATAAAAAAAACAACAGGGACCTTTTATTTGTACATTAAGCTTCTCAAAGCACTGCCATTAGATTATTTTATCTGAACCTCCTGAACAGAGTAATAATAGAGTAGTAAATAATAACAGTAATGATAATAGTGATAACGTAGTAAATAATTATATAATATAGATGGGGCATTACGTTATTGTCCCAGAAGGAGGGGAATCTGGGATCCAGAGCAGTTAAAGTCACTTCTGCGTCCTGGTGCTACAGCTCGTGGGGGACAGGAGATGCCTGAACCCAGGGGGACAGGTGTGCAGGCCGTGCTTTCCCCAGCCTTCCATCCAGCCCTAAGGGCCTGGTTCTATTGTCAGTATTTCCTTTTTGCTCTCCTCTGGCTTGTTTTTTCTGTGTTATTTATAGGCCTTTGTGAAACTTGGTGGTTTCTGGCTGGGGTTTTGCTG